TCCATAAAAAAACGTAAGACGGTGTGTGGACAGGAAAAGCCGGTGCAGAAAGACGGCTCCGTTGTCTCCTGTCCAAGTTATGGATTAGTGTTTTTCCAGTGATTTTCCGCATATGTTGTCACAGTCCCTCCCGGGCAGCTGGCTCGAATTAAAGTCACGCCTCTTGAGTAATGAGCTCGGCCCCACCCCACCCTCCCTCAATTCACAAGAAGTCAACCATCAACTCAGCCTCGACGTGCACGTGCTGAGTTTATTCTCCTTGTTGGAATGCGTTCAATTTTTTTTGCTATTCATTGTGTGCAATGTGTAATAGTGTACCGAGTACTGGCTGAAAAAAAAAAGACCATTGTCTGGAAAAAAAAAAGGGACAAGATGAATGTCATAGCGCGAAGTCAATTCTTTGCATATCCGTATCAGCTTTTAAGGTGAATTTTAAATGTCTTTATTTTGCTATTAGCGTACAGCCGCACAGACAAAGGAAGCTCAAGCAGTCATTTGGGGACTCTGGTTGACTTTCTTACACAATACTTGCCGACCTTTTTATTTTCATCTCGTACTTGACAAATACTCCAAACATAAAGAAAAACAAAATGAACACGAAAACGTAATGAGAACCGAACAAAAAGTAGTAGCCAACCTCCAGTATAAAACGTAAGACGCTGTGTTGACAGGACAAGCCGGTGCAGAAAGACGGCTCCGTTGTCTCCTGTCCAAGTTATGGATTAGTGTTTTTCCAGTGATTTTCCGCATATGTTGTCACAGTCCCTCCCGGGCAGCTGGCTCGAATTAAAGTCACGCCTCTTGAGTAATGAGCTCGGCCCCACCCCACCCTCCCTCAATTCACAAGAAGTCAACCATCAACTCAGCCTCGACGTGCACGTGCTGAGTTTATTCTCCTTGTTGGAATGCGTTCAATTTTTTTTGCTATTCATTGTGTGCAATGTGTAATAGTGTACCGAGTACTGGCTGGTGAGTTTTCATGCCACTTGTTTTTTTTTTTTTTTTAGGCTTTCCATGAATATTTTATCTACTCGCAAAGGCGAGATGCATTGTGGTAGCGTATGTATTTGAATTATGGATGGATCGCCAATTCGACAGCCGCACAGACAAAGGAAGCTCAAGCAGTCATTTGGGGACTCTGGTTGACTTTCTTACACAATACTTGCCGACCTTTTTATTTTCATCTCGTACTTGACAAATACTCCAAACATAAAGAAAAACAAAATGAACACGAAAACGTAATGAGAACCGAACAAAAAGTAGTAGCCAACCTCCAGTATAAAACGTAAGACGCTGTGTTGACAGGACAAGCCGGTGCAGAAAGACGGCTCCGTTGTCTCCTGTCCAAGTTATGGATTAGTGTTTTTCCAGTGATTTTCCGCATATGTTGTCACAGTCCCTCCCGGGCAGCTGGCTCGAATTAAAGTCACGCCTCTTGAGTAATGAGCTCGGCCCCACCCCACCCTCCCTCAATTCACAAGAAGTCAACCATCAACTCAGCCTCGACGTGCACGTGCTGAGTTTATTCTCCTTGTTGGAATGTGTTCAATTTTTCTTTTGCTATTCATTGTGTGCAATGTGTAAAAGTGTACTGAGTACTGGCTGGTTAGTTTTCATGCTACTTGTTTTTTTTGTTTTTGTCAGTTTTTTTTTTTTTTAGGCTTTCCATGAATATTTTGTCTACTCGCAAAGGCGAGATGCGTTGGGGTAGCATATGTATTTGAATTATGGATGGATCGCCAATTCTAGTTTGCGGTCTAATTTTTTCCAGTATTTTAGTTAAATATTTTCAGTTCTGTTAGTGAACTTGAATGAGGTCCATGTGTAGTAACCTTGATTAAAAAAATGTATTATGCAACAATTGATTAATCACAACTCATCGAAAGATCAAATTAATCGACACCTATTTTTAATCGATTAATCATTTTGAGCTATTGATCTAAAATAGTGAAAATCTCCAGAATTTCCGCGGTAAGTATTCTCCTATTTCTGTAAGATAAAATTAAACATCTCCAAACATCTGCTTTTACAATTTTTGGGACACATGTTGCTGACCAAACCAGTCAGTGAATCATAATTTATTCAAATAATGTGTTTTTTCATAAATTAAATTTTAAAAAGGAAAACCAAAAAAAAAACAGTCGTGTCCAACTGATTGATTAATCAAAATAATAAATTACCAACAGATTAATCGAGTATCAAAATAATTGTTCGTGGCTGCCCAAGTTACTTAATTTATTTTATTTTATTTCCAGTTCAGGATATTTAATTAAATTGTGTTGCAAACTGAGAAAACAACAAACAAAATAAGTAAATAAATGAGATTCCATCACCACTTTTTCCCTTTAAAATTTTTTTATTGCTGATTTTTAAATTGATTGCTTCTGTCTGTCCGTCGTCTTCCCTCCAGAGCCTCCCCAGGTGGCTGTCGAACTGCTGCAGCAGGAAGCGGCGTTCGGCGAGACGGTGCGCTTCACCTGCCAGGCGCGCGGCAAGCCCGCGCCTGCCGTCACGTGGCTGCACAACGCCGTCCCCCTTTCGCCCTCGCCGCGTCACCGCCTTACACCGCGGATGCTTCGGGTCTCCAACGTGGGCCCGCAGGACGAGGGCTTGTACCAGTGCATGGCGGAAAACGGCGTGGGGAGCTCGCAGGCGTCCGCTCGACTCCTCACCATATCCGCCGGTGGGGGAGACTCGTTAGCTGGATAATTTTCCAGCCGTCGTTTATTCTGATGATGCCAAAAGCGGTGCTGATCCTTAATTGTTTTCACAGAGATTCTGCCCAGGCCTAAGTTGCCCTCCATGTATCGTCCACTCAGCCCGGATAAAGTTTTGAAGGAGCAGCCGCCCGTGAGGCCCGGCGCGGTGGGGGCCACGTTGCCTCTGGACTGCACGTTAATCCCGGGTCAGATTTTGCCCGCCGAGGCGCCCATCATCCTCAGCCAGCCTCGCACGGGCAAAGCCGACTACTACGAGCTCACGTGGAGGCCGCGGCACGAGCGGGGAGCCCCCGTGCTGGAGTACATGATCAAGTACAGGAAGGTAGGAACCAGCGATGCTGTGAAATAACCAAGTACGAATATGTTGTTATTGTACTCAAGCAATTTTTTTTCTCCTCACGCTCTGCTCTTTTTACTTTTACCCCTATTTTTAAAATACACACACACAAAAAAAAAAATGGGTGCCCTTTTTACGTCACCATTTGTAAAAATAGAGCCCAATAGTTCTTTCTTTATTTACTTATTTTTCATCATTGGGCCAATTTCGATATTTGACAGAATGAAAGTCTGACAAGATTTCAAATACAAATAAATCTGGGCACTTTTTACCTCACTATTTGTAAAAATAAATAAATAAACAAAATAAATCAATAAAAAAAATTGCCTCTTTATTTGTATATTTATTTATTATTTTGGGTCAGAAAGGTATTTTCAGTATTTGACAGAATGAAAGTCTGACAATATTTGAAATATAAATAAATAGGTGCACTTTTTACCTCACCATTTGTAAAAATAGAGCCTAGTATTTCTTTATTTATTGAATTTTGGTGTTGAACAGAATAAAAACCTGACAACCGATGAATGGGATGATTATTTCAAAATAAATTCTCATGAATAAAAGAAATTGTCTTTGGCCAAGCATTAAAGACAGGAATTGAAAGCCGAATATTTGACAGTTTTTCAATACTGTACTTGCCTTTCTTTTTTTTTTTTTTCAACTTGACACAGAAAAAATTGGCAAAAATATGCCTTCCCCCAATTTACTTTTATTTTCTTTTAAACCCAAGTATCCGTTCACAAAGTTCACCCTCGCTTTGACTTTTCTCGCAGGTGGGCGACCCATCGGCCGAGTGGACGTCCAGTAGCATCTCGGGCTCTTTGCACAAGCTGACGCTGGCTAAGCTACAACCGGACAGCCTGTATGAGGTGGAGATGGCCGCCAAGAATTGCGCCGGCTTGAGCCAGCCAGCCATGATGACCTTCAGGACGGGGAAAGGTATTGAAAACAACCACATACTGTAGCTTTGCTTTATTTTATTATTATTATTTTTTTATATATATGAAAATCTGCTCTCTGAATGCAAACACGCAACGCCAAAAACGAAGCATTGCAACTTCGTGTACCCCACTTAAAATCTTGACGTGTCTTTCAGGTCGGAAAGGATTGGGAGGTCATAACGATCTGCCGAAAACACCCGTGGTTCCGTCGCCAAGGCTTTCGCGTAAGTGGCACCCCCGTTCGTGTGCCGCACTAACTTCTAAGTCCTTTTTTTTTTTTTCTTTTTTGGACTAACATCCACTTTTCTCAGTCTCTCTTTCCCTTCTGTCCGCCGGATGAGCTCTCAGTAAGTGTCGTTAACCTTACCCCTAATTTGCTGTAAAATTTCCATGGGGAGTCATTGGGATTGATCTATATTCACCCTTTCATGCATCCTGTAACCCGATCACATGATCAGCTGTCCACTGGAGGCACCGCTGTGCCTCGAAAGGGTTAAACATGGAACTGAAAATGTCATTAGGGACAATTTGAAAACATAATCTAAAAAAAAAAAAATCAGATGATAAAAAAGATATACGAACAATCTGACTTGATTGTTCCGGTATTGCCCCCAAAACAAAAATTCTCTTGATTATTGTGAAATCGTCAATACAAGAATGAATTTTTCCATTTAGCGTCGTGTAGGAATTCTAACACCAAATTATTAAAAAATGTTTTGTTAATTCTCAAGGACTATTGATTTCATATCATAATTTGACAGATTTTTTTTTTTTTGGGGAGGCATTCACTTGAAAATGATCCCAAATTTCCCATGGAAAGATTGCAGGAAAAAAATCTCTTTTCACACCTTTCCAAATTTGCAAATCTAGTCCTCATCTGTCCAATCCCATCTTGACTTTTGACTCTGGTCCTTTGGCGCAGATCCCGAGGCGCCGGACAAGCCGACAGTTTCCACGGCGACGGAGACGTCGGCGTACGTGACGTGGATGCCGCGCGGCAACCGCGGCTTCCCCATCCAGTCCTTCTGCGTCGAGTACAAGAAGGTGAAGAAGGCGGGCGAGGATTGGGTGACGGCGGTGGAAAACATTCCGCCCTCCCGACTCTCCGTGGAGATCACCGACCTGGAGAAAGGTCGGACGACCCGATGGCAATGGGCGGCGGAGGAGGGGAGTGTGAATGCAAATGTGGTTAACATCATTGTCCCCCGTCCTCGCTCCCCGTAGGAACGTCTTATAAGTTCCGTGTGGTGGCGGTCAACGTGATCGGATCCAGCCCGCCCAGCGCCCCCTCAAAAGCCTACACGGTGGTGGGCGGGCGGACCCACGAACGCCCCGTGGACGGACCCTACATCACCTACAACGAAGCCATCAACGAGACCACCGTCATTCTTAAGTGGACGGTAAGGAGCGAAAACGAGACGCCCGGGAAAGAAGTCTCTTGTTTTGCTGATGCTGGATTGTGTTGCGTTTAAGTTCCGGTTGGAATTCTGACAACTCTCACGAGATTACGACTTTAGCTTGTCGCGTGACAAGAAATGTAAATGTCCAAATTTATCAAAAGAGCGGCATTTCAAATTTTCGTATGATTCCAAATTGAAAATTCGTGTCAGATTTAAAAAAAAAAAAAAATGTCAATGTCAGAATTCCCATGAGTACCGTATTTTCCGCGCTAAAAGGCGCACCTAAAAGCCTTCCATTTTCTTACAAGCTCAAAGCGCGCCTTAAAATCCGATCCGCCTTGTGTATGGTCATTACGGTAATAGTTCGACCCCAAAATGGCTCCTTGCTCAAGACATGCCGACAACGCAGAGTTCAAACTTAAGGCGATCGGGTTACGCAGTTGAACACGGAAATAGAGCAGCGGCAAGAGAGTTTAACGTGAACGAATCAATGTTTTAACTTGCTGTTGGTGAAGTGAACTGTGTCGATGCTTTATTAAATAAGTTTGACTGACGTCTGATCGTTCTGTTGGCGTTTCCTTGAGCGTAGCTCCATCTAGTGGAGGCATTGTAGATTGCGTCTTATAATGCGGTGGCGCCCAATGTGTGAAAACATTTACAAAATAGGCCATTCATTGCAGGTGCGCCTCATAATCCAGTGCGCCTTTTAGTGTGGAAAATACGGTATCAAAACATTTTTTTTTTTCCTCATTTGGACTATTGAGTAACAGTTTGAAAATTGTTTCCAAACTAAATTGTCCGTCAACTGAGGTTCCACTGTATCTGGAATCTAGTCCTAAATTGGCGTATTGTTTGGTTTATTCTCAAATGATGATGAAATTTTGACATTTAACAAATGGCGGTCGAGTGGTTAGCGGCATCGAACTCACAGTGCAGAGCTCGTGGATTCGATCCTGGCTCTGACCTTCCTGTGTGGAGTTTGCATGTTCTCCCCGTGCCCGGGTGGGTTTTCTCCGGGTACTCCGGTTTCCTCCCACATTCCAAAAACATGCATGGCAGGCTGATTGAACACTCCAAATTGTCCCGAGCGCGGATGGTTGTTCGTCTCTGTGTGCCCTGCGACTGGCTGGCAACCAGTTCAGGGTGTCCCCGGCCTTCTGCCCGAAGACGGCTGGGATAGGCTCCAGCACCCCCCGCGACCCTTCGGATCGGAAAATGGATGGATGGATAGACAATGACTCTGATTTTTTTTTTTTCCCCCGGCGTCCGCAGTACACTCCTGTGAACAACACGCCCATTTATGGCTTCTACATCTACTACCGGCCCACGGACAGCGACAACGACAGTGACTACAAGAAGGATGTGGTGGAGGGCGACCGCTACTGGCACTCCATCGGCGACCTACAGCCCGAGACGGCGTACGACATCAAAATGCAGAGCTTCAACGAGAAGGGCGAAAGCGATTTCGGCAACGTGGTCATTCTGGAGACCAAGGCCCGCCCCCACCACCATAGGCCCGCCCCTTCCGAGGGCCCCGACCGGGAGACGGGCCGCTCGGGCGGCCTGGTGCAGCGACCCGGCGATTTGCCCTACCTCATAGTCTGCGTGGTGCTGGGCGCTTTCGTGTTCATTATCGTCGCCTTCATCCCCTTCTGCCTGTGGAGGGCCTGGGCCAAGCAGAGTAAGTTGTTTGTTTTCGGTGGTGAGTGAACGGGGACAAAAATTAATAAATTGGCTTTTTTTTTTCGAAATGTACACTCTATCTATTTGACAAACTTTTTTTTTTTTTGAGCCAACAAATTCTTGGGGAACTTAATTATTCCCCAATTTGTTTTATATTAATTATTCATTATTTTTTGGGATCGCACAGAACAAACATTTTTTCCATGACTATCGTACATTAAAATTCCAAAGGAGACAAATGAAAACAATGTATTTTTTCCCCATTTCTTGACCAGAACAAACGTCGGACTTGTGCTTCCCGGCCGTGGCCGCCCCGGTGTCGCCGTCGTCGTGCCAGTACACCATGGTGCCCCTGCAGGGTCTGGCCCTTTTGGGGCGCTGCCCCAACGACGGCCATCTGGCCGTCCCGCCTGCGTTTTACTCTCCCAACGGGCAGCACAACGGCAAAGCTCACCACAATCATGAGCACCTGACCCACGGCCTACCGGGGCTCCGCCAGGTACGATCCTCACCCTTCACAACTTCTCGGGAATGATAATGAACCTTTAGTGAAGGGTGGCGCCATTTGTTGTAGGAGGAGGTGGACATCGACCTGGAGTGCGACACGCTGTTACCGCAGGGACTCGCCAACGGGTACCATTTCTGCGCCAGGTGACATTCACACACCAGCTGGCCTACTTTGGTTGCCTTCGGACTGTTTTCACTGATTCGTTTCCCCCCCCCCCCACCACCTTCAGAGATCCCGAGCATCATGAACAGACATTCAGGTTGGCCGAGGAAACCGCACCACGGGTCCTGGGGTCTTCCTGTCACCCGGATGACAAGCGGGAGTCCACGTGGGACGAGGACGAGACGGGAGAGGGGCTTTGTCAAAGTAATTCCTTGTCACTTTTTGCTCCTGCTGCGTTTAGTTCAAGTAAACTTAATGGTATTGTACAAAAAAAAAAATTTAAAGCAAATTTATATTTCTCTGAAATTGTCATTTCTTTAAAAAATATGTTTTTGCTATTTCTTAATTAATTAATTTATTTGTTAAATCAAATTGTCAATTCCATTATCACATAGAGGGCCGGGAACTTCCGCACGCTCAGAGATGACATTTCAGTTTGGCCGACTTTCGTTTTTCGCCCCGGCGTCCCCTTGACAGCTTTTCTCTCTTTGTAAATGTAGAAACGGCGTCTTTCCCAGCCATCGTATCTCTGGAAGACGAAGGAATTTTCACCTCATCGTCGTCGTCGTCAACCACGCCGCCGCCGCCTCAATCGCAAGACGTCATACAGGAAGCCGGCGTCCTGCCCAGTGAAGCAGCATATGCGTAAAAAAAACAAACAAAAAAAAAAAACGTTTAAAGAGAAATCTATTTATTTTTGTACCACAGATATTTATGTATTTATGCCTTTGTACATGCTGTATGTTTAACTGTATATAAGGTTATTTTCATATCGAAGGAGGCTCTATTTACAAGTCCCGCCCTTTTGTCACGTGAGCTATTAAATCATGCAAATTGTATTCAGAATTCTCAATTGTTTATCAATTTTGATGAATGAATACACATTTTTTTGAAAATGCAATTTGGTTTTCTTTTTTTTTATGGCAAATTTTTATTCACAATTCTGAAGATTTTTCTTTTATTCAAAATTGAAACTTTTGAGGGGGAGCACAATTATGTACTCAAAATAAAATTACAACTGTGTAGAAATCTCCCCCAAAATACCATTTATTTGGGTAAAAACTAAAATGTTCTCATTCGAGGAAAAACAATTCTAAGTTCAATTTGTTTAACTTCTAATTATGAATTAATTTTGAAAATATTGGAAATTGTTTACATTCCCCCCTCCCACCACCTTGCTGAAATGTAATCGTGAATACAACTTTTAGAAAATAAGTTGGAAAGGTTTTTGGGGGCAGGGTGATTTCAATTTTATTTGTACATTTTGTTCAAGATTCTAAAAAAAAACTATTTTTAAAATTCAATTCAAAATTTCTATTTCTGTTCATTAAGTCCATATCTCGTTATTTGAAATTGAGCTTTTTTTTTATTTTAAAAATCTATTGACATTTATTCCCCCCCCCCTCAAAATTTCAATTTTGATGAACTTCAGGGGTAAAAAAGAAAAACCCTTTCTTTTAACCAGCACTTATCGCGTGGCTCATTCCCCACCTTCTTTATGGATCTATCAATAACGCTTTTTATCGATTATGTATAGCAAGAACCGCATCATTAACAAGCTATTTGTGAGCGTTTGCCACATTGTGTGAAAAAAAAAGATGATATATTGTTATAGTTATTTATTTTCTCAAGTCACTGAACGGGGTTGTGGACGTACTTCTATCAGTCACCGATAAGCTGAATCCATATCTGCTTTGTTACCAAAATAGCCGCCTGTGGCAGGTGTCAGTATTTCTCACGTCACTGTTTTTTTTGTTTTTTTTTTACAAGTATTATGCCTTTCTTGTGCCAGCAAAAATGAAGGAAATTGACAGTGTAGCCTGTCCTTTCTTTGTCTGTTTGTGTGTGCCTACATGAGCTGGAGCACTATTGCATGTAAATAAAAGCTTATGAAGCCGATTTGTCTTTGCGGTGCATTTTTTTCCCCAATTCTCCCGCTTGGTATTTTTCACGTTTATTGAGCCTGACCGAGTAAAAACATTTGACCGTTATAATTTGTTTGGAAGTTAGCATCGTTTCAATTGTGCCAGTCGCTCTGCTAAACGTAGCCTGCTGTGCACCCCTGGCAAAAAGTCTGAAAACTTTTGACACACAAATGCTAATGTGTAAAAAAAAGACCAGGGGCAAACTAACCTTTTTGAAACTGAGAGCTACTTCTTGGGTACTAATCGATGCAAAGTTTGATCTACATTTCTATGATAACAATCGTGCTCAAATTTCTTTTAATCATGTTATTGTTACTACGAATAATTATTAATAAGTTATGTGTAGAGCCATTTTTCTCAAATTGAAGGTCACTTTGATTGCAAAAGTTTATTGTAAGATAGACACTGCACTGATGCATGACCTACCGTTGAACTGCGTGTGCGCGCGAGTATTCGTCAAAGATGACAATGGACTTCGCCATATTTTTTTATTTAATTTGAAAATGCTCTGTTGAGTTAGCTGCCGGTATTTATCCATTCTCACTACCTCACAGCTTCCGCACGCCACCTCGGGACGCAGAATCGCCGTACCACAGCCCACTCGGACGAATTGTGGACCAAGATCTGATCAAAGTCACTCCTGCCATCTAGTGATGATATATAATACCGTAATCATTCCCACAGCCTTGATATTTACTGAGGGAGGTGCGCGAAGCCCTTCATATTTTTTAATAAAAACAACAAAAACGATAGGGTTCATGCAAACGCGTTTTTACGGTCTGGCATTAAATGAGTTCACGGTTTTTCACAAGAATATGGAAATTGATAAATATCAATATGCCGGACTTTATTTGTATAAATCTCTGCCAATGTTCCTATTTTCATATAATCACATCTACAAAATTGCTAGAAAATCACAATGTCCTATCACTGATAGATTTTAATTTTAAAAGCAACTCGCGGGCTACTCGTGGTCCTTGGGTCATTTCAGTGGAACCTCGAGTTACGAACCCCCTTTTTCCGTACAAATGGAGTTACCGGTCATTTTTTCGGAGTCAAATTAGCACTATTTTCTAGAGACAAGCGGTTGGATCTCTGTTGTCTACTCTCGCACTGCGTCACCCTCATTAGCAACGTCCATCACGAATTACGGTAAACTTTGCAGCAGTTCGCCACTTACAGTGTAAAGTGAAAAATAGTTGTCCCTCCGCGGTTAAAGGCGGAAACGGAAATCTATTACGATGGTAGGCGGAAGTACCACCCCCGCATGTTTGATTATCCAATCAAAAATCTAATAGCTTTAGTGAATGACGTTAGCCGAATAAAAGTTCGTAAATATTTTAATTCTCCCCCAAAATAGAGTTTAAAGTTTTTATAATATTTATTCGCTTTTTGAATCTCTTTAATGAATAAAACGGATTGTTAATGTCTTTGTTATGTCACGTGTTGTCGCCAGGCGGAAGTTCCTCGACGTGTGACATTCAGCCAATCAAAGATGCCAGAAACAGCCGCGTTGTTATGAATGAATGCGAAACACGGTCTCACGTCGACTGGATACATTGAACTGAATGGCTCCCAAAAGGGAAAACTGCTTCAAAGGAGCGTTCGAAAGCGTGAAGCAGTCACAAAGGCTTCTAAAATAAAAAGAAACTACTTCAAGGGAGCATTCGAAAGCGCTTTCACGTTGTGTAACCCAGCTCTGTGTCAAGCAAGGAAGGCAAGGTAGGCACCGACTCGTACGCTACTTTTGATGCTTTCCTCTTTCTTGACTGACAAATGAGAAGCGCTTCCTCGTTATTGCGTGTGAAAAAAAAAGATCAAAATAAATGTGTGGCGAATTAGTCTTGTAAATCGGATGTCCCCAACCACAGTGGTCCGGCACTTGGGGGGCTGCCCAGAGACGAGTAAATTGCGAGCAATTTGTACAGACAGGAATTAAACATTTTTTAAATTATTTAAATAAAATACTTAACTTTAAATTCTAACCTTCCAGAAAAATCAAAAATATTTTTATGAAACACACTTTTTAAATTCTTAGTTTATTGTTTTACAAAAACATTTTAAACCTTTTAAAGTCATTTTAAAGTGCACTGTTTCGACAAAATGTTGATAGCGTAGGGAGTCGAAGCACGCCACCTAGTTGTGAGACAAACTTTCAGCAGGCAGAGATTTCAAACATCCCCTTATAAACTTTATTAATTTTCTTTATGTACAAATGCACAATCTAACCTTCTGATATGAAACGTGTGTATTTACAAAACAGTCTTGATTCTGTACAGAACAACCTGATATAAGTTAGTCAAATACATTAATGCTGCAGGTTTCTTCTTCAACAACATAGAGAAAACCAAAAAGTTCTTGTTCCAAACATAGACTGGATTGTTCTTTTACAAACAAACCGATAACGCTGCCCATAAAGCTTGAAGCAAAAAAACAAAACAAAAAACTGATCAATGAACATGACAAAAATGCGATCGAAACAGTCACGTAAACAATAGCCCCTTTCACACTGCTTGTCGCCGTTTCCTCGGTCACACGGCTGAGCTGCCGTCGTGTCCGAGGATGTGGCTGATGTTGTGCGCTGGCCTGTTGGGTTGCTTGCCCGAATCGGCGGCGGATGCGTTGGCAAGTGACAGCAGCGGCGACATGGGCATGGCCGAGCCGTCGGTGGGCATCCCAGCAGCGATTTCTGGGAAGAGCGACGTGAGACTGAAATTGGAGATGTGCGGCGTGATGCCTGACGAGTTGGCGATGGGCATGGGTGGCATGTCGGGCAGCAGTGGGAAGCTAGCTTGCGCAAAGCCAACGGCACGCGGCGGCGACAGGATGGAGCCGAAGCGGTTGTTGAGGGGCGGCGGGGCGCTGGGCTTGTCGGGGCCGGGGCTGGTGAACATCTGGTTGGAAAAGTACTGCAGGGTGACATCGCCCGGCAGGCTGGGGTGGGCGGCTGGCGAGTAGGACGGGTAGAAGGAGGGTAACGTGTTCTGCGGCTCGACGGGCAGCAGGGAGGGCGTGCGCGAGGAAGCGTTGGGTTGACTGACGGGCGGGATGAAGGTGGAGTTGGCGTTGATGGGCGGGTTCATGCCGCCCTCGGGGATGAATGGGAAACCGAAGTTCTGCGCCAGGTGCTGCTCGGCCACCAGGTTGTTGTCTCCGGGCGCCTGGGTGCCGTCCGCCATGAAGCGTACGATGGCGCTGCGCCGCGCTTCGCCGCCCGACTGCGTCCGGCCCAGGAGCACGCCGCCTCCGGATGGGAGGGGCAGATGGCCTTCGGGCTCGAAGGGGTTGCCGGGACGCAGCGTCCCCGGGCGGGGCCGCTCGCCCGGTCTCAGCTTGGCAGGCGGCGCGTGCCGCGAATGCTGGCTGACAGGCGGCCTGGAGGGTGCCGAAGGGCGGCCCGGTTCGGCGGGGTGGGCCGCCCGCACGCCACCATGCATATTGGTGTTGACCTGAGAAATGTGGCTTTTGTTCATGGCGGAGGCTTTCTGGCTGGGGCTGGACGCTTTGACCTGGATGTCCACCGAGGGGTACTCCATGCTGACCGGCGGGCAGCATTGCGCCGTCCTCTGGTGGTTCCCCTCAGGCGACAGGAGGCTCTGCATGAAACTCTGGTGACAAGCTTCCTGCTCGCGCAGCAGCGCCGGTCCCACGTGCGCCCCCTGCGGCCCGAGATGGACCCCCGCGTAGCCACCCGAGACGCGATTCCTGCCGTCTGGCGGGGGGCCGGCGCCCATGCGGAAGGTTCCCTGCTGCAGCTGCGCCCTCTGCGGCTTGGCGGCCATGTCGCTCCCTCGGGAAACCTGAGCCTCGAAACCAGCGAGCTGATGCGCACTTGGTCCCGCCGCGATGCTTTTGAACGGCAGGCACTCCGACACGCGCTGAATGTCGTTCGGGCCCGGGTGGTCCGACGGGATTCGGCCCTGCGGGTTGTGCGGCACGTTGGCTTTACCTCGTCCCGACGCGTCCATGTAGCCGCGTAGGTCGCCTTGCTCCGGCGCAGTGCCGCCGCGGCTCGGCGGTAGATGGTGAGCCATGCGCTGCTGCTGCTGCTGATCGGCGCTCGTGGTGCTTTTGCCGATTAGCGCCTCGGCAGAGTAGTTGGAGACGCGGTGGCGCTCCTGGCGCGATGGCGTGCACGACAGCTCGGACGAGCGCGACGCCGGATTGCTGGGCGAGATGAGTTGTTGCTGCTGCTGCTGCTGCTGCTGATGATCCAGGCTCCTTGAAGTCATCATCCTCTGCATGGCAGTGTGATCTTGACCAGGCTGAGGGGTGACGCACAAAATACAAACGTCAAGTCACGTCGCAAAATGTCAGTGAAAAATGTCATTTCAGTCGGTTTCAATTCGAGGTTTGTTGAAAATGCTTTGTTTTAGATCCGTCTTCAGTCGGGTAATTTATTTTTCTACATGAGTAATTGTAGAAAATAAAACATCACTAATTTTGTATTAAAGTATAAATTTTAAACAATGAAAACGAAGGAAAGAATGAAAAACTGACAAAATACTTTAGACAATAAAATAAAATAATGCTTAAAAAAAAACCGAACAGAAACTGCAGTTTCCGATTCTAAAACTTAGCATAGCCAACTATAATTATAGCAAAAATGTCCGTTTTTGTCAATGCATCTCTTACGCAAGCTTTTGGGTTTCATTTCAAATGTACCGGTAATTATTTTGGTTGTGCTGTATTTCTGCAGACCTAAGAAGGAAAATCAAATAGTTGTTTGAGAATAGTAGTTTACTCTTTGACACAATACAAACTACCTCTGAAAATTAAATAAAAGTAGGCCAATTTCAAAATAAAATAAAAAATATCGCGGACAAATCCAAAACTATTTTCACCCTGGTCATGAGTGGGTCCACAAAAACAAACGCCTGAAAAAAAACACGAGAAGTCTGCCATTTTGGTTGTATAATTAGGAGTCGCAAAACTGTCCCATTTGTATCGGGTAACTAATTTTCAACCAATTTTCCAGAGTTGTAAACCGGTTCCCTCCATGTATTGGAACTTGACCAACGTGGACTCGAGTTACCGCTTTGACAACGCGAGCGGCGACGACGAACCTTGAGGTGGTCCTGCTGCGCCAGGTGGTTGTTGTGGTGGGCTCTGGCTCCTGCTGCCTGGGCCTCGCAGCTTTTCTCCTGGTGTCGAAAGTGCTGCTGCTGCTGCTGCTGTTGCTGTATCTGTTGTTGCAAATGCTGCTGGTGCCTGCTATGGGAGTTCTGTTGCTGCTGCTGCAGCTGTTGATGATGCTGCTGCTGCTGTTGGTGCTGCTGCTGGTGCGCAGGCACTTGGTGCTGCTGCGGATGCGACTGTTGATGCTGATGCGCCGCCTGTTGCGGGTGCGCGTGCTGCTGTTGGACGGCGGACTTTTCGCGGTGATGCTGCTTTTGCTGCAGGGCGGCGGCGGCGGCAGCCGGCGAGCCGCTCTGGCTGCCTCGGACCAGCCCCCTCTTCTTCTGCGCATGCTGCTCTTGCTGGAGCGCCCTCTGGTGGAGCGAGTGGCGCTGGGCGGCGTCGGGCTGGGTCAGGTGGTGTTGCAAATGGTACAGGTGGTGTCTCTGCTGCTCTTGCTGCTGCTGTTTCATGTATAGATTGCCTCCCAGGTGCTGGGCGGCGGGATGTTGCGGATGACCCTGGGGTGGGTGGAGCACCCCCGGCTGGTTCTGCTCGGGGGGGCAGTGCGCGTCCGTGGATCGGACGACGGTGCTCATGAAGGAGTTGGTGGAGAAGAGGGAGCCCTCGGAGTTGATCCTCGACGAGGGAGGCATTTGTCCGACCATCATCTGGCCGTGGTCCGCCCCTTTCACGTCCATGTGGCCCACGGCGGGCGCCGGCGCCGGGCACGCCTTGGGTCGTTTGCCGCCGTTGAGCATGACTTCCTCCTGGGCCTGCCGCTTCGAGAGGATCTTGACCTGCCGCTCCGCCTGAGCCCTCATCAAAGCCGTTTTCATGGGGGCGTACTCGTTCAGCTGGCCGGCACCCGAGCAGGGCGAGAGCGTGTTGTTGGACGATTGGGAAATGTGGACCGAGGCGGCGGCAGCGGCGGGCGAGGGCACCGAGCACTGCTGGCCCGCCAGACTGGGAGATCCCGGGAAGGGTTGCTGAGAGGAGCTGGGCCTGATCAGGTTGTTGACGCTCAAGCTGGCCACGGTGCCGCTTTGGGCTGAGCTCTGAGTCTGGACCTGCGGGAGAGACTGCGACTGGGAGTACGCGATGAGATGAGCCGCCGGGTTCTGCGGATGCCTGCTTCCGCCGGTCCCGCTGACGGAGCCGTCGCCACCCTGCCCTCTGATGGACACCTGACCTGGAGGTTTAACCGCGTCCGCGGGTTTGCTCCCTTTGGCTTGCTGCGCGGCGGTGGCTTTTTCCCGACTCACTGTCCTGTTCCAACATGGCCAACGCGAGCATCTCGGCCTGCTCGGATGTGAAGGTAAACGTTCCAAAGGAGCCAGAGGAAGCGCTCATGTCCTGACCTTGAGGGAGCATGGAGGCCACCGAGAAGCCCCTGCCTCCCCCCGCCACTGTCGACATGGGCGAATCCGTCACGGGGGGCTCCAGAGTTTGATCATCTAGGTTCGTGTAAACCCCGTGAGATAGCACAAAGTCTTTCTTCTGCGTCGTATCGGACGTGGACGATGCTAAGCTTGTCGCGGGACTCGCTTCTTGGGCCTGTCGGGTCTTTGCCGCCGCCGGCGCCGCCGGAGGAAGTTTGACGCTCGGGTCGGGCCGCCGTGTCGTACAAGCGCCAACCGACGACGATGGAGTTGAGGTTGTGGACGCGGCGGATGAAGAAGCGGGTTCTTTACCGCAAGGCACCGATTTGATGTTGTTGAGTTGTTGTGGACAGGATAGCGATTGCGTACTCTGAGTTGCCGGGACGATCGCTGTGGCGCAAACCGAAGGAGGGCGTGCAGCGTGAGCGGCGGTGGCGCCGTTCGCGACATCACTGCCAGTCACAGCCGTGAAAACCGTTGCGCTCGATTTCGATACCGTCGATGGAAGAGCTGAGTTACTTTGCGTGGTGCGAGTCACGGTGCCCGTCGTTTCGCGTTCTACAGGCTTGCTCGCAGCCAAGCTCCCGTTTGAAGCTGCAGCCGCTTTGTCATTCGCGGCCGCGGCGGCTCCAATCGCCGAAGCCGCGACTGATGCCGCGCTGACAGTCGCAACTGCGCTCGCTTGGCTGGAAACGACATCATCGGCATTCGCGCCGACCGAGCCGACGCTTTTTGGCGGGGGCTGATTAAGTACAGTCGGGCCGCTCGATGTAACGCAAGCAACGGTTTTCGACGGGCTTTGTGGGGAAGTGACACGTTGTACGGTTCCGGCAGACTCCGTCACAGCGGCTACCGGAGGAACGTCTGAGGCCGGAGATGCGATCTGGTTTTCGTCAGAGCTAGCTTGGCTGAGCACGCTTTTCTTCGATGCTTTCGTCCTTTTCGCCGCCGATTGCTTAGCATGCAGAGTCGTCTGCGGCCTCTTTCCGGCAGCCTTCGGCGCACTCGCCGCTTGTCCAGATTTGACTGGCGCTTTCGCTTGCTGGACAGGCGGGACCGCTGTGGTTCCGGGGACGCTCCCGGGAGCAGGAGCCAGTTGTTTCTGCTGCACCGCTGCAGATGGAGTAGCTGCAGGTGGGCCGCTGTTGTTGCTCTGGCTAGAAATGCTCAGCGGAAGGCCCTGGGAGATGCTCTGGTTGAGAGAACTGAGGGCCCCGAGACTCTTGAGAGCCACGTTGGTGGTGGGTTCCTCCGTGGTGTTCGGCTGGACCAGTTGAATTGTACTTTGGGATGCGGTTTTGTCCGAAGTCTTCATGGTCTTTAGGGCGAAGACCTGCCCGTTCACAGTGATGGTCTGCGGCGTCGCGTGGACTCCGGCAGGTGTCTGGCTCGTCTGTGACGAATGGCTCACCGGAGGCTGCGCCGGACGCGGGAGAATGTGCACCAGCTGCTTGCCGCCCACGCTCTGCAATGTTGAACTGTTGGGTGTTTGAGTGGCTGGCGCTGAAGAAGGCGCGGCAGCGTCAGCGGAGGCGGCGGAGGGTACCAAGCCAAGATTGGGATTCTGAGGGGCGGGCGCAGCGTGATTAGAAGCCTGGATGATGACGATATGTTGACAGGGCGCCGGGTTGCTCGCTTCTTCTCTCATGACCGGCTGGCTCGGGCAGGAGTTCGCCTGCTGCAGAATGACCACGCTGGGGTTGTTGTTGTTGTTGCTGCTCGGCGGCGCCGTCGCCGGCGCCGCCGCCGTCTCCC